CACCCCATTATCACTCGCCCCCTTCCCGCTCCCATTCTACCCCGGCTCCCCCGTCTATAAATCACACCAGCGTCATTGTTCTATTCCAGTAGAATTTTCCGAAATCAAGATCGCAAATTAATTTACTTTCAACAAATTTATTTTCATCCAGTGAAAAAAATCCTGTAAGAATATCTTTTAAAAATGAGGGATCTTAAAAATAAAGGATCTACGGACTACCAGACTGCCTTTCTGTCAAGAGTTTTTTAATGGCTTTTTTTAAACGACACCTTTGACGCCTCAGCCCCGTCCCCAAGTCTTGTTATTCTCCACACTTTTGATGTGACGAGATAGCGCTAATTTTCTGTCATCCCCGCCATCATAATTGCACAATTTCATCCCAGTAAGTGTTTGTGTAGTTTTGACACTAAAGTAACACGCAAAAGCATCACAAATTCACCTTCAACGTCAACTGCGTCGAAAAAAAAATCCCTTCCATATTTAATTATATTCTTCTTTTTAGATATTTATTCGACGGAGTTCTTACGGCACACTCAAGTCTGCTTGTTAGCGAGAGGTTAGGAAATCCCCCCAGGTCAGAGCGGGAAATGGAAACGGATGCATGAAGCCATTTTTCCGCCCGTGTCACCCCAGTAATTGCCAGTTTGGATGAACTTTTTTTTTCTATTTTCGAAACTTCTGCCTTGGCATCTCTCTGTCTATTGGTCTTGTCGTTGGATGTTTCGTAAGTGAGTCTGAAATAACTTCAGCACCTCACGTCGTTTTGGGTTTCTTTTTGTTTGTATCTGGGGGAACAACGAGACAGTTAGTTAGTTTTAGTGGAGGTTTTACGGCGCTCGCAACTGCATAAGGTCATATGAGCGCTAGAAGATTAGAGGTGTTACAAGAGAGTAACAAACATAAAAAAGAAGAAGGAGAGATAAGGACGATAGATATTTGATAGGACAACGAGACAAATTAAACGACAGTCAAACGGCATCAGTTCAAATTGTTTTCGACATGAATCGTCTGATTCTGAAGAAAATGTTCTCTCAAAGTGTAAAAAAAAAAAAAAAGAACTTGCTTCTTTGAAACCTTGTTTTATCTTTCGTAAAAGAGAAACAATAATTTTAAAAAATATTGTATGAGAAATCGACCATTTCTTTCTGCTTTTCTTATTTTGTAGCTGTATAATATGCAATTTTGTGTGTGTACGTTAAAAACACTCCTTTTCAACGGTGTACGATTATTTCATAAAGAGGAGGGACTTCCATATTTTATGACAATCTCTGATAGGACTGATCCAAGTTCAGAAAGTTCAGTAAGTTGAAGATTCGAACCTAAGCTATCCGTTCTATTGTCCAGCGTGATACTATGTGAGCTAATGGTGAACAAATACAGTCAATGTCTTAAAAAAAACCCCAGCCCCAAAACAATCATACACATAAATATAAAAGATGACAGATAAAGAAGAGTGTGGGTATTGGTTACTAACAACGTACTAGAAAGGGAAAAACATGTAAAACACACTTCTCCCCGCC